GATGTCAGCGCCACACAAGGACCATTTTTACAGAAATATTTTACACGCCAGTGTAAAGTGGTCAGGGTGTCATACTAGGCACGACCGCCAGATGTCGCGACAGAGCCCCCTTCCCGTCAGCTTGGGGGCCCAGGGCAGCCGCCAGCCCTGGGAACGGAGATGTTACGGCCCCGCCCCGCTGCAGTGACAGTCTCGGCTGACGCGGATAACGATGGCGTGAGGACTGTGCAAAAGCCCTGGGCAAGATCAGGACCAGGGGAAAAAGAAAAACATTCACCTATACAGGGCTGGAGAGCTAGCTCAGCGGTTACCAGCACTAGCTGCTCTTGCAGAGGACCCGGGTTCGAGTCCCAGCACTCACATTGGTGGCTCCAGTTCCACGGGATCCGACACCCTCTTCTGGCTTCTAAGGGCACCAGGCACATGTGCACACATCCACTAATTTGGGGGGGGGCAGAGGGTTGAGACAGGGTTTCTCTGTGTAGCTTTGGAGGCTGCCCTGGCACTCGCTCTGTAGACCAGGCTGGCCTCGAACTCACAGAGATCCGCCTGCCTCTGCCTCCCGAGTGCTGGGATTAAAGGCGTGTGCCACCAACACCCAGCTTTCAATTAATCTTTTTGCATTTTACTTTATGTGTACGTATGTTTTCCCTGCATGTATGTGTGTGCACCATAAGGCCAGAAGAGATCTTTGGATCCCCCGCAACAGGAGTGACACACCACTGTGAGCCACCATGTGGGTGTGAGGAATCGAACCAGGGTCCACTGAAAGAGCAGCCTGTGCTCTCAACTGCGGAAGATTCTCTCCAGCTCACCCAGATTAAAAAGAAAATCATTCCAGGTGTGTATGTGTGTGGTGTGTGGTATGTGTGGTGTGTGTGTGTGGTGTGTGGTATGTGTGGTGTGGTGTGTCTATGTGTGGTGTGTCTATGTGTGGTGTGTATAGTGTGTGTGTGTGTGTGTGTGTGTGGTGTGTGCACGCACACGCGCGCGTTCACCTTCCAATATGAGGGTCCCGGGATCGAACTAGGATTCACAGGGCTTGGCCGCAGTCTCCCCCGCACCCCTGGCCTTCGGTGATTGACAGCTGAGCCACAGGCTGAGCAATCAGCAGCCCGGATCTGAGGCCCACGTGGGGCTGCGGCCTTCTG